GTCTAAAAGGAACGATACAAAGGTGGAAAACGAGTCTGACGAGCAAACAAAAGAGGGAGAAAGGCAGGGGAACAAAGTTGTCTGTCGGCCTCAAAGGTTACGGAGCCGACGGAGAACAAAAATATTTGGGCAATCCGTGCAAAAGCACTGCCTCTCCCCAGAGTTATGTAATTTTTCAGAAGGTTAGCCTCTCTGCCTTGATTTCGGGCCATCGGCGTAATTCCCACAACTTCTTCAAACTGCAAAATTAGGAAAGAGTTGAAGTGAGTCTTAGTCGCATTCCCGGAGCGCCCTGTACACAGCAGGTATTCAATAAATGCTTACGATTGACTGCACCTGCTCCCAAGATAACGTTGCTACAACTTTTTTTTTAAGTCATCTTATATTTGTACGTAGGCTTATCAGTGAAAACAAAGTATTTCCAAAGGGGCATTTTCCTTACTATGCACTTGTCTGTCCTGTCTCTGAAGGCAAAGCCCTCAATTATGTAGAGCGGTGTATTAGGCTCCCAACAACTTGCACGTGGAAATTTAACTGTTGGTGCCATTAATAGTGAAGGCTATGGTTTATCTCACATTGTCATAAATCTATATGACTCCTTTCATCATGTTTCAGAGGTTATGTGCACAGTTAACCCTCTTGATACGAGTTCATTTCTAAGTAATGTGAGACAAAACTAAAAGAAATACATGTTGTATGTAATAAACATAAGACCAGTAATGATATAAATCCATCAACTCTAGTCCTAGAGCAAAAACGTTTCATGATTTAAAAAAAAACTATTGTTTTATCACTTCATGATGTTTCAAATGTTTTTATCATTGTGAATTTGTCACTTAGTAACATCTCGAATATCTTCAAAAGCAAGACTTCTTAACCCAGACAATGGCTCAGTTGTACTAGTGTGGACTCAGTTTTCATGGTAAGAAAGCATTCGAAACCAGAGCTTTCAAGAGGTCATGCTAGCTGAAATAATATATATGATTTTGGTAGAAGGTAGTTTTCTAAAATCATCTCGTTCTTCAGCTTTCCATAAAGACTATTTTAGTTTATTTCAACTGCAGTGGTTATTTTTGTTTGACCAAGTGTAGATATGTTACATGACCAAATAGAAAGCGATAGATGTGAAAAACTGGTGACTAACTGGGGGGGAGAGGAATCAGGTGCACACCCAAGAGTCATTATAGAGTGCAGAAACAACAAATTGCAATTCTATGCAAACAACTGGAAAACAAGAGTTATACCATCATGTGTAAGAGAGAATAACAGAACTGTAAGGTGAATTCATGCCAAATCATTCATCAGTTATTGCCAGGAGAATACTACATCTTTGTTAGTGTGCCTCTTTGACATTTTCTCCTGGATTTTCTCCCTTTATATATTCAAATACATACTAATTATACACATTACACCACATAAGTTGAATTTTTAAAGTTTTTCATGTGCAAATATAAATATATCTGTTTTGTGTATATGTGTATATATGTATATTCTAAAATCAATTACATATTTATGCTTTTAGACATATAGTCAAACTAAATATATACATACAATTATAAAAAGGCATTTTTTCAAATTGATGAAATATATCCAAGTCAGTTCGTACAAGTGTAGCCATATTTTGTGGCTTATTTTCACAACTAATCCTAAAAGGGAAAATGAGTCACCAAGTTCAACTCTGGCCCTTTTCTTTAAAATATTTTCTCATATAGAAAAATCGTGAAACTAAATATATATATATATATATATATATGTATATAAGTCGAAATATCTTTTAATTTCATTTGCTTCAGCAAGTCAACTAGAAGATTGGAACCAAGAGGCTATGAAATAGAGGCCCCCAGCACAATGAAATCAGTCTGCTATAAAAGGCGACACATGCCAGTTTCTCCTCCCCAATGGCAGATGCCACACCCTAAAGCAGACAGAAGGCACTGCAGTCTGTAAGAAGCACAACACAAAGCCAGCAGGACTTGGTTTTGTCTCTTAAACCACAGAGGATGCTAAAATACCTTTTTAAAAGCATCTTGCCGAAGATTAGTCGTGGGCTCCTATTTATTGGAATTAGGCTTCTCAGACACACCTTCTCAGGAAACAAAATAAAAGCCTCTCAGAGTTTCATTGAAAAATCCAGGACTTAATATAAACAAAATCACAACTGTCGGGAGTCTGTTAAAAAGTGACGAAATAGGTTCACATTTCACAAAAGCACAATTTGAACCATGGATTATCATTTCTATTGTGTCAGTTGCCTCAATTACCCTATTTGGCAATTCTACAGTATTTTTTTATGTAAAGTAATAGAAATCACCGTGTTCATTTTCCCTAATGAATCCCGTATTTTTACACCACTTGCCTAAATTTCAAACCATAATGACAACTTTAATAAGTTACTCTAGCCACAAAGGAGCCACGGAGGTGAAGGCCCAAAAGCTTCTGAGTGACCTGGCTGTGCCTGCAGCAGACCCTCCCTCCACCCACAGGTTGCCCAACACCCTCGTGTTTAGCCAGAGGATTATCCATTACTTTGTTAAACATCACCTTTTCGCTACAAAAACAGAGTTGTTCAGGGGTTTTGTTTTGTTTTGTTTTTTTGCAATATGAAAAATTAATATTCAAATACTGCTCCTTTTGAATAAGTTTTAGGGTACTGAATAAAAGGCTCTTCAAACTTGCCCACTTAAAGAGGATGGAGCCAGATGGTAGGTAGACTGTCGAGGTTCTGTTCTTTCTGCCTCATCGTAGCCCATCATACTGTTTGCTTTCAGATTAGTCCCCTTTTACTATTCTGGTTATTTATTCAGCAAGTAAAACTATCACGATTCACTACCCATCATATTTCTCCGTATTCTTTACATAATTTGGAAGCAATTTGCAATAAAGCCCTGTCAAGGTTTTACAAATAAGAACTATTAAAGAATAAGGCTTTGGATACTTGCTTTCCTTTTAGATTTATGAGAAATGCGATGAATGGAGCTAATGGGATTTCCCTACTGATCTTGGTCAGGGACTTTAAAAAGCACTAAACAATTGTCCTTTTCACTTCTCCGATTTAGATGTTAGCAGGGAATAACTGAGTAAATGCAAGATATGTGATATAGCATTTGATTTGAAACAACTATGCAAATTGAATAGTAATCCATAAGTTTAGGATGCAAAACAATTAGGATTTGAAAAAAATCTAGGCAAGAGATAATTTAAATTTGGGGACTGTGATTAACAGTAACACTATTCTATTTACTAAGAATATAGTGGGGATAATAAATCTGGATGGGGATCAACTATACTTTTTTTTGACAAGTTTATCTAGAATCTATTTTGTGACATGCCCTGAGAATAAAAAGATGAATATTACCTTCATCCTGTCCTCAATAGGGGAGATAAACTATTACCTAAACTTACTCAGGGCTGCCCTGAAACGTCATGGAGGATTTGGCCAGCAAAGAAGCAAGTTCAGACTTCTCCACCTAACAGCATTCCCTGCAGCTCTGCCTTGCTGGCTGCCATCGGCTGGGCACCTTGCCCTAATTCTCCATCTGGCACAGTTCTGACATGACGCTGGGAACTCAACAATATTGGAGCTAGAATCCCAGAACCCTAAGTCAAGTATCCCTTTAGGCTACTACAGTTTCTCTCCAAAGTCCCTAGAAACATAGTAACAGCAGTGAAATAAATTACATTTATTTCCCTAATACATTTTGGAACATTGTACTTTGTATCTTATACTGGACTGTCCACATTTTGAGTGATGTGTAATAAAAATTTTTATTACAGCCTAAGTTTAGAAATTTTTAACTTTTAGACAAATGTGTGTTCAATGGCATTTCTTTCACTTTATTTCCTGCATTGTCCTCATTCATTCTGCCATCAGCAGAATCACTTATTGAGCACCAACTGGTGCCTTTTAATAGTATCGCCTATGATCACATCATGTCACATAATCATCTATATGGCTTCTGTCACTGATAACCTGCTGCTTGAATAAAGGCACTTTATTGATAACACCACTCTAGTTCCTCGTAAATAAATACCTAGGAAATAAATGTATTTGAGGTCGTTTTGTAATAATCAAGAATATATGCAGAAGTCATTTAGAGAGCTAATCACCTCAATTTTCTGGGAAGATTTTTAGTGGGATATTTGAGGGCCTTCTGGGTGTTTGTCGTATGTGATTAATTGCTTCATAGTACACATAAACTTCTAAAATAAAACTACTTTTGAAGCACAATAAATTTCAAACAACTCAGGAGCATTAATGTAGCACATTTGTGATATTTATCTCACCCTGCTTATCTTCAACTGCTTTGTCCCTAATTCATTAAGAGCATCAGTAGGCGCCTTTAAGGGTAAATTATTGACAGTCATCTGTTCTGCTAAGGTCCAAAGGACTGGGTTATATGCTTTTCTTACACAAAATGACATAATTTCATTGGGGGATTTGCTTATCAATGCATTCCTCTAAAAATGCCCAAGTGGTTAAGCATAAATATTTTTTATCTCCCTAACTTCAACGAAGTTAGGGAGATAAAAAAGGAAATTTCCACATTGTAATATGTTACTATAGGACTTAAAATTCAGCAGTCTATGCCTGGCATCTTCTCTAACTCTCAGACGTCTCCTCTCAGGCTGTACTTCTCTCTGTGGTGCTGATGACCTGCTTTCTCGGGGACCATGTGGGTTAAAGGTTTCCCACCCAAAGACTAGTCCACAAGGAGCAGCTGGGAAGACAGCTTCTTGGCTCAACCCCATTCATTCATTCATTCATTCTTCAAAGAATTGCGGAGGCCTGCCTACCCTGCACCGCCAGGGGCTAGGCTCTGCAGCCCCTGCAGTGGAAAAAAAAAAAAAAAAAAGCTTCCCGCACTATCTACCAGCTCGACGTTAATCAGATGATCCCACTAATAAATGTATAATTGCACAGAGATAACGTGCTCTGAAGGAAAGATGCGGGGTTCTAGGAGGGAAATAAACGAAGACGCTGACGTAGACTGGGGCCTGAGGGAAGGCTTCCCGGAGGAAATGGGGCTGAAAACCGAAAAGTGAGAATCAACCAGGGAAAGAAGGGAAAGGGCGTCCCAGACGGCAGGAGGCCAGCGGGGCTGGAGAGCAGAGAGGGGCAGGCGCGCCGGCGAGGTGGGGGCCACACGCTGGGCCCGCAGCCCAGTTCCCTCAGGGCTGGTCCTCCGACAGCGGCGCGGAGCAACTGCAGCATCTAAGCAGGGGGCGGACGCGGGCGGGGCCGGCTTGTCCCGGGACCCACTGGCTGCTGGGAAGAGAGGCGGAGCCAGAGGAAGGGAGCGGGAGTGGAGGCTGGTCCCAGGAGTCCAGGCTCCAGCCGCTCGGCCCGAGGCCTGGCCACCTTCATTTGTTGAGGCTGCCAGTATACGATGATATTGAGGAATAATAAAAGAGGATCATAAAAATGAGTTTAATGTTTACAGTTTTTTAAAACATATTCGGCCTCAAAAATAGAAGGCAATGAAAAAAAAATAGAAGGCAATGCAAGTGTGATTTTCACAGAATAGCTCTAAGATGTATCTATTTTTTTTTAATTAATTCACAGTGCCTCACAGGCTGTGTAGTCTGTTAATAGACCACAAGTTTAAAATAATAATAAGAAGAAAAAGATGAACACCTTTTCCCCTAGTTATTGTATCTCCAGGACTAAACTGTAACCTTTCTTGGCAACCACACCAAAGTCTACACTTGAGACTCTGTACAGGGCTCTCCCACTCCTTCCTGATCCGAACCAATGACAAAGCAGCTGGAAATTCCAGCTTTTATCCCTACCATCCTGGCCACTGCCCCATCCATCTATTCTACCCAGTTCTCTCTACACTGCTCCCCACCACCACCGCTGCCCTGATAAGCCAACTCTGTTCGTAGTAGAATCTCAGCCCTAAAAACAACTTAGAAGTTTTAAGAAGCTGAGGGAAACTCCTCAAATCCATACAGTGTAAATATTTTGTGATGTGAGAGCCTTCTCTCTCTTATCTAGGAATTTGTGAGGTTGAGACGATCCATGGAAAACTCTTGGAAACAAATAAACCAAATGAGTCAAGACACCCAACCCATAGATTCCAATTTGCCTCCCTTCCCAGAACCTCCTGTTTGCACAGTGCCAGGGAGTGTCATGCTGGTTGTCACTGATTAAAGGACACCTCTCTCCAGTGTGGCTGCTTATCTTCTGGAGTTATGCATTGTGACTGCCCTGCTCCTCCATTTGTGAGAGGCCAGAGCTGTCATTTGCAGTCCCTGAAAGGGAACATGGAAAGAAAGCAGAAGCCCCTGTTGGGAAATGACCAGGCGTGGGCAGTATCCTCGTTTTGTGTCATAACTTGGCTTTCTGCCACCTTTCCACAGGTGTAAACCTTGGGGCAAGCCACCTTGGGTGTCTGGAGGAAGAAAAGGAGCGGCCAGCCCTGGGAGGCGATGCTCCCAGGAGGCAGTATTTGGAGCACCCCACATGCACTGCCTTCATCTCACCCACCTCCCTATTTAGGGGCAGGGCATGAGTCTAGATAAGGGAAAACCTCAAGCAGAAATAGTTGTACTTAATCAATAAACCATGCTACCTCTGGGCTGCTTTGAGTTTTATAACTATTAGGACAACATTTATTGTGTTTATCCTGTGCCCAGCACTTTGCATACATATGGCAGTGATGCAAGTTGCCTAACCTAGCATCTGTTCTCCTCACCTTTAGTAAGAGAAACCCCAATTTTTAACTGGGCACATGACCACTCATATAAAAAACAAGTTTACATTTCCCAGATCCCTTGGAGGTAGGTGTGGCCATGTGTTTAAGGAGAGCTGTGGTGCTGGCTTAGTTACTGTCTGCCTCTGAACTTGGTCTATGAGAGAGAAAAATAAACCTCTGTTTAAGCTGCTAACTTTTTTTTTTTTTTGGCTTGGTTTGGTGTTTGTTTGTTTGGGATTTTTTTCTTTTTTCTTTTTTTCAGTAGGAAACAAAATCTAAACCTAACTGATATAGTGCATTATGATTTCTCATATAATCCTCACAACAGCTCTGAGAGTTCAGTAAACCTCTCAAGCCTTGATTTCCTTGTGAAATGACAGTACCTATGCCCCTGTGCTTCTGGATCAAGACAGATGAGTGAATCCCTGCAAAGCTCCAAGCACAGTGCCTGGCACTGGGATGGGTTTGATACCATTATTTATTTTATCAAGGACCTTACATCTCTCCAGCTGGATTATCAATTCCTTAAGGACAAAGTCCCTATCTTCAATTTCTCTTCCATCTTCCACAATGCTCAAAACAGTCCTGGACCCACAGTGGGCTCTTAGCCCTTAATTGTTGAGAGAACTTTGTGGCTGAACACAAATGTGCAAATAAAATGATTTACATGCATTTTCAAATTAGTTGTTCCTTTCAGTGCAGAGAACCCAGGTAGCTTAAGCAGCAATAACTTTTTATGTGGTTATGCTTTAAAAATAAAGACAGGATTCCCTACTTCATTTTGTATTTGCTTCAAGGTGTAGGAAATTTTTCTGAAAAGGACAGGTCTACCTGTTTGTCTGACTTTCCATCTTCTCTAGGTAGGACTCTTATTCTTGTAGGCTAAAGGAACATTGTGTGGGCATGAGATTTGTCACTGGAGAGAGTGTTACAGAGTTGCTTTCAACATGTTAATGCTAGAGCGAGTCTCGGACTGCACTAGTGTAGCATGGCACTTGTTTATAAACATGATTATTAGTGCCGATTCTATGAGATTGGTTTCCCACTGACCCCAACAGAAACAATGCAAATACTTGCTCTTTTCTAAAGCATAGTAAAACTCCTGTGGTTTTTGAAACCAGACCAAGAACACATGTAGAAAAGCCCGTGGATTATTTTAAGTGAACTTCTTTTTTTTAATCTCATTAACTTTTCACCATATGCTGTTTATTTTTTATATCCTGCATAGGCTGAAAATGAAGAGAGACCAGGCCAGTATGTTTCATTCGGGGCACATCATTACAAGGATGACATACACAAACTCTGGGGAGTTCAGAGAAAAACAAAGATGAGTAAGGGCACATTTTAATATGACTTATTGGAAAAGATTCTTAAGGCTCTATATGTTCATTAACTGAGCAACCCAGGAGGCAGGCAGGAAAACTGCTTCCCACCACATGAAAAGAGTGCTACCTCGGGGGACTTCCTGATCTGTAGAAAGAAGCTGGATTCACATCCCAATTCCACATTTATGGGCTGTGCATGTTTGGCAATTTACTTAACCTTGTGCAGCAGAGTTTATGTGAAACACTAAATATCTACTTTTCAAGATTTTTTTTTTGCTAAGAATTAAATGAGAGAGTATATGTAAAGCATTTAACATATTGCCTGGAATTAAACAGGTAAGTAGGGAGTGTGTGTGTGTGTGTACTTTAATTTCTAAATAGAATAGATGTCTGGCATGTTATTTCAGGAAAACAGTATACTCCACTCAACCCCAAACATTTCTCCTGTTACCTAATTAAAATTTCTCCATTAAAGATTTATGGATGTGTTCCTTTCTCTAAAGGCTTTGAGCCCTGTCAAAATAAAAATATGCTTCTAACGAGTAATACCTTCAGCTTTTATCAGTCATTCATACCTTATGACGACTGTATATCGGATCCGTTCCTGAAAGGCTACTCTGATGCAGAAGAAGAGGTGAGAAGGAAGGTAAAAGGAAGGTAAGGGTGTGAGGGGGAAGATGAGAGGAAGCAGGAGGGTCTGAGGTGGACCAGGAGGCAGCGGTAGTGGGGACAGACACTGCTGATTGCAGAATTCTGTTACCCTTAGAAACAGCCCTACGTATCAATGGGCTGAAAGTATGAAAAGGAAAGCATATCTAAATACTGAAGAAGTTTTCTTCCCATCCTGAGTTCAAGCTTGTGGATCCTCAACCCCTTTCCTAAAGGCTGGAGTCCCAGGACTTGTCATTGCTCTGTTTCGGCTGATCCTTGGTAGATCAGTGTGGGTACTGACGGGGAGAGGGAGGGACCCTGCACCCTGGAAGCCACAGGGTGTGTTTCCAGGCCCAAGTTCACACCACGATTCTGAGGCTAGAGAGGACAGTGGATGATGTGAACACTTTTGCTCTGGAGGATCATGAAGCCCAGTGCATTGGCCACAATGCAAAAGAGCCGGGTGTTAAAGCCAGAAGGAGGGGAGAAGAGAAGGGGACTCCTGGCCGAGGCTTCTGGAACCCCTGCCCTGCTGAGGGGACTGTGTGGGTCTGGCTGCAGTGGCAAGGATGGGTGGGTGCACGGAGTTGAGATTTTGCCTCATCCAGGGTGGGAGCTGTGGAAAAGAAGACAAAGAAGGAAGAGAAGAACTGTGAGGGAAGGGAAGGGGGGAGAAAAGGAGGGATGGATGGGAAAAGAACAACAGACAGAGACTTCTGGAGACCAGACAGCTGTTACTAGAACTCTCACCCAGTCTGGAAAAAACAGTGTTGCATATTGCAATTTATCCTTTGATACATTTATCATTAACTGGGCTAGACCATCTTACTACGTGAGATAATTCATTAAAAAATTTAGGTTCAAGGTTAAAACTTTAGAATAACCTTTCTTGCTGAACTTCCATGACTAAATTCCCTGAAAGTTGGTCCACCCGCCTCTGCCTCCACTTTCTTTCATAATTCCTGGTGTATTCTGATTTCTGGAGAAGTGTCATCTCCAAGTTCTAATTTCTTCCAGGAAAAAAACATTTATCTTTTCCTGTCTTTCCTAAGTTTCAGTCTTTGGAAATATATATTGGAACCTGAAGCATGGTGTTCTGCGATTTTCATTCTACTCCTGCTTGTTAAAGTTGGGGGAGATCTATTTAGATCATCTAAGCTCTTCTAAGTGCCAACTAGGAATGAAAAGACTCGACAGTGTGGTGGGATGGGAGTTTCAAGGACGTAAGACAGAGTCTTTGACGGGAGAGAAGCACATACTGGCAGAGACTCCAACGTCCAGACCTACAAAAGGAGACAAATGAAGCAGTTGGTGGCCACTCTGATGACTCTGTAGGTCTGTAGAGAGTTGTTTCTCTCTTCTTCTGCCTCCCTGAGACCATCCTAGCCCAAAGCGTCTATGCTGTCTCCTTTTCCTTCACCAGTTTCTTTTCCTCTTAGCTGCCAGTGCCCAACCCTGAGGGTGCACCTGCTCCTTTTCTGTCAGACCAGCCAGCTGACCATGGTGACCCTGGTCAGGAAAGCAGCGTCTCTGCCTCGATACCCTTCTTCTGGTTCCTCTCTCAGTGCACTTCATTCCATTGACTGTCCAGCCACTTCCTCCAGACTCTGGCTTACTACTCACCGCCCCGAGATGTCGTCATTGATAAATTACCTTTCTAATCACTTGCCCTACCAGACTTTCTCATACCTCTTTGCCTTTACATCTGCTACTTTCTATTCTCTTTCCCACTGCTTGGTCAAGAGCTACTGTCTTTCAAAGTTCAGCCCAATGTCCCTCCCTTTGTGAAGCCCTCCTGATCACAGTTCCCACATACCAAGTGGAACAGTCACCTGTAAGCTATGCAACCAACTTGTGGATATCACTGTTTCAGCCCTTATTATAGTATGTTGCGATTTTTTATTTCTCCAACCCCAGACTGAATGCTCCAGGAGGACACCCTACATTTTTTTATATCCAGGGCCTAACGTAGGACCTGCCCCTCCATTCATGTTTGTTGAATGAATGAATGACCTCTACAACCTGTCAGAGTGATAACAGGGCAACATTCCCTCCCCCCAAGCATGGTACCAATGTGACAGATATACTTGAACTCTTCTGACACTTCCTGAGGAGCCACAAAGTCCCTATGCATGAGAATGTACCCTTAGTAATCAATCCATTATTCTAAGGAAATTAAGCAGGATCCTTCTCATGTCAGAATGCGGGTGGTGATTTCAGAAGGTCACCCAATAGAACCATATTATTGCAAGACAAGTGCTAGCCACTCTGCTCATCTGATTGCAGTTTGTGGTGGTCGGTGCAGGAACAGGAAAGTGAGACCACCTCCCTTCTGCAACAAGGCAGAAAGAGAGCGTTCTCTCTCAGAGCTGGAGAACTTCCCATAGCATGACCTCCTTAGGGGGTTAACAAAGGGGGAACTTTGCCTTGGGACAGCATGAAGCAAAAGTTCTCCTCTCCATGTAACCAGAGTCAATGGCTGAGAAAATGCTATTGTAGATGCTTCAATGATTTTCAGCTGTCAGTGACAGGGAAGATGTCTGGAACAACATGGGGGAAACAAGATTTTCATGGAGAGGAGCTTTTAACTAGCATGAAAAAAGACTTTCTGGCCACCCTATAGACTTAGGATTTTTTTAAGGTGCTATGACTAAAATATACTGTTGCAAAATCTTTCTTATTATAATCCCAAAGAGCTCAAGATTATTAGAATTATTAGATATAGATACTAGAGATTTCCTAGTACTACAAAAAATAAAATAAAATTATTAACATGATTGATCTAAAACAAGGCTAATCATAGCTGGGTTGAGATGTATTTTCCAGGTACTTTGGCCTTACTTCTAATTTTTTTTTTCATTCCAGTATACGATGTTAGCTATTATATGACATGCAATCTTGGTCTTGTATTATTTTGTCAGGATCTGATTTTTATTTCTTTGTTTTGAAAAGTTTTTAAATTAAAAAATTTTGGGGAACTACATATATTTCATAGTCTCTGAAAAATGTTGATTTGCCTTCTGGCAGCTTCTCTATGAAAACTCCCCAGTGGCGGTGGCTATATGCTCGGCAGCAGGGAGTTTGTAGGGAGGAGGAACATTCTCTTGAGGACAGAGGGGCAGGTGTCCCCCCACATCCAGGACCTGATATTGTCATCCATTCCTCTAGTTGGTAACATCACGAGTGGCCTGTATGTCCATAAAGACCCCATGCCTTCTCCAATAGTTTACTCAAAGCCATTTTTAATGACTGGAGGATAAATAAGAAAAATATCAGAAATAAAAAGATGTATCCTTCCATACCCACATACACTGAAAGTGAAATGTACTGGTGGTCACCTGTGCGCCTCAGTCCCCCACAGACGTCAATCACTCTGGCTCAGGCCTCTGTGTAACAACTCTCAAGGTCATGCTTGTTCTTAGTCTGCTAACTGTATTACCTGCAAGTCTTCAAAAATTCTTATCACCACATCCTACGTGCCATGGGTAATAGGTGTGAGGTGGCGGTCAGAGGGCTGCTGGCGGTGAGAGAGCACACGTGATGTTGTTCAGCCAAGGCTGGGCGGTCAGCTCCGGGTTGCGGGGGGCCTAGCACGTATTGGTGTGCAAGGGCTGGAGGGTTGCCAGAAGATCTGGAGAGACAAGTCCACGTGCTGTTCAGGACCCAGACACCAATCAGGATTTTAAATTCTTCATTTTTCTTACCTACCCCAGCCAGTCTATTCATCACAGCCAGAGTGCTTCAGGTTTTGTAATACATAACTAAGCCCACATAACCAAACAAAATATTTGGGTCTATGGCATTTAAAGGAAAGCAGAAAAGAAGGAAGGAAGAAGGACCATTCCAAATAATAAAACATTGTTTAGTGTGGCTTTCCTAAAAGTACAGTTCACCTTTTATTAGACTCCAAAATTACAACCTTCCCACCACTTTGGAAACAATTTAAAAGTCTGACAACATGATCTGTTGGTGAGGCTGCGGAGGAACAGAATTCTCATATGTTGCTAGCACTAGTAAAACATGGAACAGTCGTTTTGGAAAGATTTGGTAATAACGAACAAAATTATCAATGAACTGACCAGTGACTGCACTTCGAAGCGTCTGTTCTATTGATACCTTCTAGTAGCACAAAATGACCTACAGCCAGGATCATGCCTTATGACATTGTTTCTAACAGCAAAAGATTAGAAACAACCCAAGTGCTCAGCAACAGTGGGGAATTTGTTCAAGATAACTACGGGGCATCCACACAGTGGAGTACTATGCAACCCTCACAGTACTGGAGAACAAAGTTTTCCATCCTCCAGCATGGAGAAGCATATAAGGTATTTTGTCAAGTAAAAAACTCCAAGGTATATATAGTGTGTTACCTTTTGTATAACAGGCAAGGGCCGTAAGAATAGGTACACATATTTGTTTATATTTGTGGAAAACAACACTGAAAGGATAACTATCTGCAGGGGGTGGTTCTCTGTAAGGGGTGAAGAAGAATGGAAGGGAGAGGACAGGGAAAGGGAGACCTCCTGTGTACCTTTCTGTATTTCCAAACTGACACCATTTCTTTTTCATTTATAGCATTTACTTAAAGAAATTTTTAAAAAGCATTCAAAATATTCAGGCTTTTGACTATCTCAGATTCAC